CTTAGAAGTCAGGCTGAGGAGTGTTACCGACATCCATCAAAGGCAAGTAGGGTTCATGCCCGCCAATGGTTGTTCCGCGAACATTTTTAGATTTGACGAATGCATCCGACAAGCCAAGAAGAATGGGAGAGTCATTGGAAGTCTTTTGGATGTGGCCAAAGCTTTCGACACTGTACCCCATGAAGCCATCCTACGAGCTCTAAGGTCCCGAGGACTAGATGAACATACAATAGCACTGATCGAAGATATGTACTCCGGTATCTCTACGAAGATTAACGGAGTAGGGAGCTATATCCCTCTGGTGAGAGGTGTAAAACAAAGAGACTCCCTATCACCACTGCTCTTCAATATGGTGATGGACCCTCTCATTAGAGACCTCCAGAGGAAGGGCTTCAGAATTGGCGGCCGTGAAATAGGGGCACTGGCCTTTGCGGATGACATCGTCGTGTTGGTGGACTCCATTGAGGCGGCCCAGGAGAATGTAGATCTGGTTGGGCACTACATTAATAAACTGAGTATGACCCTGAATCCACGTAAATCATCCTCATTCCTCGTAACATCGCAGAGGAATACATGGATAGTTAGGGACCTGGGCTTGTCAATAGGGGAGACTATGGTAACTGGCGCCAGACCCTCCTCTGTGTTGAAATATCTTGGAATAAACTACACCCTCTCTGAAGGCCTAGAGTGTGGTGCCTTGATAGACAAGCTCGTTAAGGCTGTCAGCAGAGCACGAGGTTTGGCACTAAAACCGTTGCAGAAGGTCAACCTCATTGCTGAAAGAATAATCCCCAAATTCTTGTATGGATTAATCCTGAGCAGTCCTAAGGTAACTAGGCTGCAGATGGCTGACCAGCAGGTGAGGGCGGCCATTAAGGAAATCCTTCACCTCCATCCCAGTACAACAGACCATGTACTCTATGCCAGGAAAAGGGATGGGGGTATGGGGATCCCCCGATTGGCAAAATTAGTCCATTTAGCCAGTCTCAGATCGGGGTTAGCTCTGCTGGCGAGTGGGGATCCTGGGGTTCAGGCTGCTAGCTTGGCAGGCGGTCTCAAGGGCTGCTGCAAGAAGGTCGCGAAATCTCTGTGACTAACTTGGCCGGTGACGCCGAAAGACCTGGTGAGAGCCAGTCACCTAAACAAGATCCAAGAGTCGAAAGATTGGGAGAACCTGGCGTCCCAAGGTCATGGAGTACGTGACTTCAGGAATGACTCTCTTGGAAATGCCTGGCTCTATGATCCGACCGTGTTGTCCTCTAGCAGATATACAGATGCTCTCAGGCTAAGGACTAACACATTTGGCGTCAACGTCACCCTAAGAAGAGCCAACAAAAGTATACCGGTAAGTTGTCGGCGATGTCATGATAAGACTGAAACCTTAGGGCACGTGCTCGGAGAATGTGTGGCTGGGAAAGGCATGAGGATCCAGCGTCACGATAAGATGGCTGCTGTGATAGCAAGCAAATGTGAAGATAAGGGGTACAAGATTGCCCGTGAGCAGTTATTCTCTGTACAGGAGGAAAGACTCAAACGTGACCTCGTCGTAACTGATGGGGAAAGGGCTCTCATTGTCGACGTAACCGTCCTCTTTGAGAGTGGGGATTCCCTCGCGCGGGGCGCCACTGTGAAAATTGCCAAGTATCAGACATTGGCTGATTACTTCATTTCTCAGGGAACTGCTCAAGAGGCCCAGGTGTTGCCGATCATGGTTGGCTCTCGTGGAGCTATTCCTAAGGATACACTCAGCGCCCTAACCACTCTGGGGCTGGAAGGCAAACGCCTGGGTAAGTACCTCGCCATCTGTGCCGTTGGCTCCAGCGTTGAGATCGCATGCATGCAGCTTGACTACACATAATATCCTTTTAGATGGTAAACCCGCCTTTCTTCATCCTCCTCCTTCACAGAATGGGTGGCTGACTGACATCACTGCTGTCCAGCATGTGTGGAGGACACTGAAAGAGGCAGGTTTTAAGTACCTTCACACCCAAACCCTGAATCAGGATCCCCTGGAGAACACATTTGGAGCTATTCGTTTGAACTGTGGTTCTAACAATAACCCAACTGTGGGACAGTTTGTAGATGCTCTGAAGACTAGCATCATCAGTGGCCTTGCATTTAGAGGACTGGGAGAAACTAACTGTTAGGATGATGGTGCTACTCCTCTGGATAACCTACAATCGTTGTTCAGGGAACCTGAAGCTGCTTCGCGTAATCCTTAAACAAGTCATGGCAAAGGAAACCCCTGCTGGCATGCCTGAGTGTTTCCATGTTGCCCACTAAGTACAGAAGGACATGAGTCATGCAGTACCTGTTGGTGACATGGAAGTGTTCTCAGTAGCCTATGTCAGTGGTTCCATTGTCAGACAGGTGCTTCGTGGTGTCGGCTGTGATGCATGCAAGACATGCCTGACATCTGAAGTGCTGCTATCAGCCAATGTCTTCATATATTTCAAGGAGTGCAGTGATACAGAACAGTCCCTCATCTACCTTTCTGAGAAGGTGGTGGAGACTGTTGGTACTGCTGTAACTCTGATGGAGTCTATTAATGGCAGAGGCTGCCCACTTGAATTGAGTGGAGCAGCATGAGTGATGAGGGAACTGAAAAACTTATAAAGGAGATGGAAAAAAGACCTGCTCTGTACAACAAGACCCCGAAAGGGTATTTGGACGGCAACTTGAAGAAAAAGCTGTGGCGTCAGGTTTGCAAGGGTGTGTTGGAGGATTCGGATGGCAGCCCAAAAGCCTCATCTGCAACTAGAACAAAAGGCACTGGTTGACCATTGTCATCATTAGGCAACAGTCTAGCTTGTGGAATACCGAGAGTATTATCAGCTAGTCTTTTTTCTCATTGTGGAGTAATTGAAAATCGTCGAATCAACTGATGTTCCACAACCTCCAATATCCACAAAAAGGAAACGATAGTTTGAGTCGACCCAGGCCATAAGAAGAAAAGAAAAAATTTCTTGTTGTTGAAGTGCATACTTCCAGTTCCGCTAGGCTGGACGATCCGAATGTGTTTCCCGTCCACAGCGCCAATTACATTTGGAAAGTCTGTTCTCTCGTAGAACTTGCTGGCAATTGCATTCCAGTCGTCTTCTGTTAGGTCTCATGCACAGTGGTACCAAAACATCCCATAGGACGCTGCATGTACAAGTAGATTCGATAATAACTTGTGCAGTTCTGACGCCCAAACAGTACTCATGTGAAATACCATGCATGGTCATTCCCATAGAAAGATATCTAGAAAAGGAGACAACAATAGTAATAATAATAATAATGATGATGATGCACGGACAATACCCACGCAGCTTAGATGACACTGGTGGATAAGAAACACACCTATCGATGGTTGAAATTTGGAGGCATTAAAGGGGAAACAGAAAGCTTAATCGTAGCAGCTCAGGACCAAGCAATAAGTACAAACTATTTTAAGAGAAAAATAGTGAAAGAAGAGATCGGAAGTAAATGTCGACTGTGTAAAGAATACAAAGAAACTATAGTCCATTTAACATCAGGATGTCCTGGCGAAGAGCGAATATATAGTAAGGCATGATAAAGTTTGCATGCATTTACAATACTCAATATGTTGTTATGAGACGGCTTTGCCTGATATACATATATATGTAATGATGTTATGTGATAAACACGGAGATATTAAGAAACATGTACTGATTAGATATTAGTAATTTCTCTGAATCGATTGTATAATTATATGAATGTACATGGATATGCCTTGACCACTGTAACCACACAGCAGGATATAGGATGTGGATGGGGAAAACGCATTGTATGAGTAAAGTGGAAGTCTAACCACATTAACTTCCTACATTGGAGAACTAGCAGCGGATGTAGAGATGAGTAATGTTACTGAAGGATGGAATTTGGAATTAATGTCACAAGTTGATGATTTGTCTATTTTATAACGCATGATTACTACGAAGCAATCGCTTGTTAGTTTAGAAAATGAGGAAATTGATAAAGATAAGGATTATCCAATTGCAAGCTTTGTTGCAATGTGTTTGAGTAGAATTTAAGGTATTTAAGGGTTGTACAACGGAAGTAAGGGACACTTCTCCTTAGCAGTGAACACAAGGGTTTGAACTAGAGACGCGGTCCATCCTCCAGGGGGAGCCGCTACGCCTAGAAGGGTGACGACAGAAGACAGGCTGACCACAGATCTCCACAGTTGTGGGACACCATGTATCGCGCCGCAGTTATCATACTCTGTAAGTAGAGATCTGTCTGTTACAGCCTGGCCACATAACCCCAGTGTAAGGGTAGAAGTGACTGCATCGTCAAAACTTATTGCTTATTGTTACTTATATTATGTGTTTATTTTGATTAATAAATGTTACTTTCTTTTGGATTAGATAAGAGAAAGGTGTTTCATTAAGAGTAGGAGAGGGGCACCATTCTAGGGAGATATCCTCGACCAGGTATCCTAGACCACACCCCTCCTGGCCTCATAACAATGTAAAGAATTTGGAATTGAAGTACCAGACAACTGGTACTCACACGTGCCTAGGTCAGTATGTGAACATGAGGATATAACGGTGTTATGGAACCAAGGCGTACAAACAGACAGAGTGGTTCTGGTAAACAGGCCAGACATAATAATTAAAAACAAGCGAAAGAAAACTTGCATACTTACAGATGTATCAGTACCATCGGACAGGAATGTAGTACAAAAAGAAGCAGAGAAGAAATTAAAATATAAAAATTTAAGCATTGAAATTCAGCGAATGTGGAACATGAAATGTTTTGTGATACCAGTAATTATTGGAGCCAAGGGTACAGTCACGAGAGGGTTGAGAAAATATTTGGAACTAATTCCTGGTAAGCACTCCATAGATTCACTGCAAGAAACCAGCTATCCTGGGAACATCACACATACTACGGAAATTGCTACAGTGCGAAGCTTGAAGCCTGAGTGGTGAGGTGCATCACTGGTTCAAGAAAAGGAATACCAGGAAATAAACCTGTGACAAGAGATAATGATAATAATAATAGAATAATAAATGGATGCAACAAGTAGCATATATATTATTTACAGTTTGTATGATTCTTTCAGGAAAAGAGATCCAAGACAAGTGGAAGGGTTTAAGATCTTCTTTCTTGAGGAAGCTACGTGAACAGAGACATGTTAAGAGTGGGCAGCCTGCATGTAAAAGAAGAAAATACATCTACTTTGACAGACTTCTTTTTTTACTGCCCCACACACAGCCAAAATCAACGGCAACAAATCTTCAGGAAGATGGAGGGGAAGGAAATGAAGCAGTTGAAGACCCTGCAGAAGTTACACCAGAACCAGGCGGTGAAAATACAAGTCACTCGAAACAGACCTGCATGGAAGTCAATCAAAAGAGGCGGACAATATTGTTTTGAAAATCAGATGCTAGAAATTTTAAGTGAGAAACAGCAGGCTGCGACAGATGAGGATGTAACTTACGCCATGTCACTAGTACCATTTTTAAAGCGTATCAGTGAGGACAAGAAGCTTGGCGCTAGGATCGAGATACTTCAGGTGTTGCGACGTTTCGCAAATACCGGTACCCAACCTGTGCAGCTACCCACCTGTCACACTCTACAGAACCAATCACAAGGTTCATATCAAACAGGAATGGATCCTTACTGGTTTTCAGGAGGAGGAGTATATGGGAGAACAGCTCCTCAAATGCAGCCAATACCTTCAACAAGTACTTATGGCAAGTACCACTTAACAGGACAAGGGCAGCCACGACAACGACGACAACAGGGATCAACATTTTCAACATGGACGTCATTGTCACGCTCAGTCAACTCACAAGTCATCTCTGATGACTCTAACGTGCATACCCCAGATTCTGATATTCTACACTTGGATTACATTATGCTAATGTAATCCGATAACTAATAAAAATTGATGTGAGAAACTGAACGATTATACTCAAAAATTGCTTACATTTTGATTAAAAATTTTCTTTGCTGCATGATTTCAAAATGTACTTACCGCAATGCAACTGAAAGTCGTTCTACTTCAGGCACACTTCTTCTCCAATTGGTGTTCTCCCTAGCAACTGAGGGTCCTACTAGAACCAGAAGTTCATCAAAACTGGAAACACTCATTCTGTAGTAAGAAAAAACTTATTGGGATAATTCCTATAACGTTCAAAACTTGTACAAAACTTTCCAAGTGAAAGTCTCACTGTAAATAGGATGTACCCAAAATTGACGTTGACGGAGTCGTTTTCTATTCCAGGCTACAAGACCAATAATATCACCTACTTCTACTATGTCCACGAAGGAACACTGTTGTGGAATGTCAGTCCATTATGCGCATCACTTCTCTTTTGCCTGGCAACAAACTGTGTCCAGTGAACACAAAATGCTGCCTATGACGACAAATATGTCGTTCCACAATTTGTCGCCTGTGTACACATGGCCTTAGGTGTACTGGCCGTTCACTTCACCAAGGAATAGTAAATGGTATTGCGAGATGTCTCACAAGAATTTACATTCCTTGGTGGAGTAAGTGAAGAAACAGGTTGATGACTGAAGCAGCCAGGCAGAGGGCCACTGTGAGGAAAATGAAGATTCTGTCTCATCAGTAAGTCATTATGAAAGTAATGCTTCTTCATTTTTCCCTTATAATGTCCTGCCCATACCAACCCTGGGAATTGACAGAGAGCAGTTATGAAATTACTGGAAGAATATGTGTGCCAACTAGTCACATGAGCATCATTAGATGTTTCATAAGTTGGAGAAAGTAACACTGAGCTCTAGTAATAAGAATTCTTACAAATAAAAACTAATTATTGCTTTAGGAACGCCATACTACAGATGCTGAATCGGGTCAATCTGTGCCTGATGGAAATATACAACATGATGATGGATGCCATTATCTCTACAAGAGATGAAAATTCATCCGAAATAACACCAGTCACTACGCCACTCCAATCAAGACCACCGAAAAGGAGTTCACAGGTTTCATTACAGCAAGCCGACTTGACAAATAAGGTTCTACTGTCAGTAAATGAGCATTTCACGCGTCCAAAAGTACAAGAAGATCGTTTTGATATTTTCGGGAAAAACGTTGCGATGAAATTACAAGATCTCCCTATGCAACAGAGACTCCTAGCTGAGAGGATCATAAACGCAGCACTATTTGAAGCCGAAATGGGCACTTTGACTACCTCACACAAGTTTATTCTTCCACCTCAACGCCTGTTCCATACAATGACTCCCAGTCCCCAGCAGAATGAACGTCAGCATTACCCTCAGTTTGATTTAGCAACACCTATTCACAGTACTCCAACCTGTCCTAGTCCAACTTTTCCCACACAGACAACGTCCCATTCACTTGGCCCTTCACACAGCTCAACGCAGCATTACCAGCATCAAGCACACCCATATCCCTCACCACAAATTCCCAGCTCAGTACAACACGAACACCCACCATGCCCTCAATTGGCGGGAGTTCACAGTGACACAGTTGCATCCATATCAGCACACTCACCATCAGCAGCTTCATATCTATCTAATTTAAGTGGCGATGATCTGTAAAGTCTTTTTACTTGTAATGTTCCATTTGATTGCTTTTGATTATACAATAAAGTATAGCTTAATGAAGTAAACAAGATGTTATTCTTAACAAATTGTCAATGAAAAATCCGTCGAGTGTAACAATGTTTTTAGGTCACTTATTTATCTCACTTGCCTTACATGTTTCGGTTCAAGAAATTAACAAGAATTAACAAGAAGGAGCCGAACATTTTACTTTAAATGTTTTAAACTTTTAAATATTTTAACATTGACGGCTCAATTTGAGGGCAATTTTCAGATGGAATGCAAGAGTTGTACGTGCATTCAATGTCACTAGAAAGTGTTGTGCTTTTACACTTCGACATCTGTAACAGCGTCCACGCAGCTTACATACTGTGTACATTAAACAACGCCAGTGTTTTCATGTGTTTGTAATACGTGCCTCTGATGATGTTTTTTCTTGAACCGAAACATGTAAGGCAAGTGAGATAAATAAGTGACCTAAAAACATTGTTACACTCGACGGATTTTTCATTGACAATTTGTTAAGAATAACATCTTGTTTACTTCATNTGTTATTCTTTCTTACATGTAAATACTCCTTATGTAGTGCTTTGTATATAGCATCACACGTTTCTGGTATAATGGTAGAAAGAGCCTGTGGTGAAATTACAGTAGTAAATTTCAGGTCTTCGTAGGTTCTTCCTGTTGCCAGGTATCGTAACGTTGCAGTTAATCTTACATGTGGTGAAATGGCCATCCTCATAACGGTATCTTTCTTTTTAATTAATGGGGCAACTAATGACAGGAGCTGTAAATAAGTTTCTTCATTCATGCGCAAATAATTGTGCCAATCTTTAGGGACCAACTTCAATTCACCTAACAAATTCACATGTGAATAAACATTTCTTTTCATCAACCACGCTTTGCACCAGGTTTGACGCTTACTTTTCGGTTTGAAATAATTTGTAGCTAATAATAAGCCAACTACAGCTAGAACATCGTCATCTGTAGATGCCATGTCCGACCATAGCAAACACACAACTGAAATAATATCGGAAAGGTGTACCTGACCGTGTGGGCGCACTGGGGTTTTCAGGTCAACCTGCGCAGGCGCACCTGACAGGTCTACCGGAGCGTGTGTAGAGTTACCAGATGTAAATTTGCTTATAAACTCTCCGTAATCACAGGAGAGGGGGGATACTTTCGAAGACTTCGTGCGGGCCGTCTCTATGCGACTCAGCTCAGCGAAGTGGACTTAGAAATTTCAGCTCGCAGGGTTCTGGTGTTGCCTTCATATAATCACCAATGGCTGTATGAATTTCATCTTGGTTTTTTTCCTTTTAATAAATCCTCATATACTTAACTGCTCTGTAGTCTTGAGCTTTCACTCTTAAACGTCGTGGACCTGCATACTGGAAGTGCAGTGTTTAGTTGTATGGATGTAGTAGATGGCTTGCATACGTATAAGATGAGCCGAAAATTGAAGAAGAGGGTGTACTTCTATCCGAAGTGTAAGAATGGTATTGAGACAAGTATACTATGTGACAAGACAACGCCAATGAAAGATTGCGTGGTGAAGATGCAGCCATGTAACAGTTTCTTGGAAGAGAGAGTACAGTTTGGTCCATTTAGCAATGAAAAGAGTTTTGATCCCAAGGATCCACATACAATGTATTATGCAGAGGTGTCAATGAGGGTTAGATGGTACTATTACTTTGTATTGTATGGTCATAATAAAGAGGAGAATTGATGTGATGTGATTTCTGTGTTTTTACTGTAGCGCACCAGAGGTACCCTTTCCCGGGGGATGTTTATTAAAAGTTCAGGCACCGAGGTCTACCTGAGGACTGTCTAGAAGCCCATGGAAAGGGCGGGACCCGTGGAGGATTTCGTAAGAAGGTTTATTCAACATCCCTGGTTGTATGCACAAGCAGTTATAGGACCGAGGAGAGAGTGGCCTCTTTATGTGCTTCTGAAAACTTTTTGCAGTTATTTGGGTCGGCGTGATTTAGAAAAACTGGCAGTGTTTTATATTGGTAATGGTCTGGTGGATAATGCAATAGTACATGTTATATAAGTTGAATCGGTATATGAATGGACAGAAGGAGACATACTTGAGGCATTTCTTTGTGTTGTTGAGGGGAGACGAGTGTGTGAGACAAAGGTATACATTTTATCACGTTCGTAGACGGCGAGTAGTTGATTTGGAAGGAAATTTGCGTGGCGTTGGCATCCCTGTTGGTGGAGGAGTGAGGGGAAGAGGGAGTGGAGGCGGTGGAGTGAAGTCATATCCGGGCCTGGATGTGGAGTGTGTACGCAGGTTTATGCAGGCATGGACCGGAAGCCGCTGAGTGATATAAATAGGGGAGCTGATAAGAGACGGAAGCCACATCCGCTCGCAGTGCCTAAAGAGACTAAGCGCTGCGTACGGGATTCGGAGCGATTGGGACTTAGCCGCAAAACGAGTAAGGATTTTGCTATAACAGTTTCAGTAGGGGAACTGTATGAAGGAATCAGGGAGGATTTCTTATGTTATTTTACTGATATTGAGACTTATTGTGTATGCATTGAACGGAACCAGGACATATGTGTTGAAGGAGCTGATGTAAGTAGATATCATCTGCATGCATTTTTGAAGATAAGGGTAGGCGTATTTCTTGAGGAGTTGCGAGAAGTGTTAGTGAGTTACAATTTTGGAACAGTTAATGTGCAGTGTTGCAGAAGTAGGAGAAATTGGTTGAAATATATAAGTAAGGAGGATGAGACGCCGTACTTCAATTGTAAGGCTAGTGAGCTATCGTTCTATTACAGGTGTCTCCGGCTTGGAAGATCTCAGCCAACTGTACTACGGGATACTAGATAAACATAAACTGGTGTCAGGTGTGGGGTGATTAAAGAGGTTCCCTTCTAGGATTTCAGGAGGAGATCTTGCCGTAGACTACACTCGGCAGCAGTTCCAGCCTCAATATCCTACGATGTCGAATCGGACTGGCCTCTCCGAGGAGACATCGCAACATCATCTCCCAGGCCCTCCAGGAGCCTGTTTGGCCACGAAGGACCAAGTGAGCAGACCCAGCCTGCAGCAGACGGTGGCTGTAAAATACTAGCCGCCACTAAGGGAGCAGTGCACGGCCCCTTGGTGCCGAGCTGTCGGGTTACCTCAGCCATGGACATAATAGCAACAAATAAGAAAGGACAATATTTAAACACATTAGAAAACTATCATATATACAGAACAACAAAGAAACGCACACATATGAACAATACAAACAAGAAATTAATATTTCAGGAATTACACACAATTTACACAGAACAACATAACACAACCCCACCACCTACCCCCACCACATCTACCCCTACCACGTCATAACTCAATCAATACGAAGACACACACACATCCAACATTACAACACTTGCAGCTAAGAAGGGAACACACATCACAAGACACGGTGAGTACTAAACATTATAATACAACACACAACAGATAGAAGCCGAAAGTAATAATAATAAGTACCTTTTTTTCACGTTGAAGGTTTACACAGAAAATAAGAAAAAACGACACCATAATGAATGAACCAGACGCCAGTTTTAATTAAGACAAATAAGATGAATAATCTTAACAAGTTTTAGTGAGTGTAAATTTATTATAGTTGACAAATACGCACTTTTTAAATGGTGTTGTGAAGACATGAGGGCAAGCAATGCGATAGATTAACGTAATTAGGGCACCTGATGATGGCACTATGTTGCCGAAACATGTCGTGAAGTAACAGGTGAAACTGAGTGCACAAGGCTGCCATTGGTCATAACCGATACCCCCTCCACTGAGTTCGAGAGGTGAGCCCTAGTATGACAGGAAACCGTTATATTCTAACTATTAAAGATGAATTATGTAAGTTTTTGATAGCTGTACCCATGTGTGGATTATCAGCCGAGGAAGTAGCAAAGGTATTCGTGGACAATGTCATCCTGATTTACGGGATACCACAGGTTATTTTTTCAGACTGTGGGTCAAAATTTTTAAGTGATACTTTTAAAAACATGTGCAAATTATTGGGTATCAAAAGAATACAACCAGTTGGCACCCTCAATCCAATGGGTCCAACGAACAGTCACACAAAGGTGTCCTCTGACTTAAGCAATTAGGACTATTGGCTGAAATATGCCACTTTCATGCATAATACTACACCGCATCGAGGAACTAATTATATGCCATTTGAAAGCCCGTGAGTGAATTTTACGCTTACGAGAATTACGTGAAGGAACTAGAGTTTAGACTAAAGAGCAGCTATTCGCTGGCATGGAAGAGTTTAGAAACCGCCAAATTGGATAACAAAAGAAACTACGATAGACATGTAGCTGTTCCCAAATTCGAAATAGGAAGCAAGGTGCTGGCGAGGGACAAAACTGTTCGCCGCGGCCAATCAAAAAAGCTAGAAGCCCCGTATGTAGGTCCCTATGAAATTATTACGCTCGAAGGACGTAACCTAGTGATACGCACCAAAAAAGGGAAGGAAATGAAGATTCACGGGAACCGTGCTAAGTTGTTTTTTTGCATGATTACAGATGTGGGCAACTTTAGTGAACGTACTAATCAGCCAGGTTTTCATGACCAAAGGACTCGACATAAGAAATGAGCCCATAGAAATTTCCCCTGGATTATACTACCAACACGAAAGCGAAGCAAGATTGAGCAGCAGTGACTGGAAAGTAATGACCTACCTTGACTTACAACAAGCCAGTGCAAACGTGGACACAATAGAAAGATACGTGGAAGCCACCATCAACTTTTGCAAGAAACATGATAGTTCCCTATGGCTAAATTTAACGGAGTGCAGAACCACAATTTTAGATGCTACTAGGAGATTACAAAATTTGAAGGAAATGAGAGATTTGGTAACTCAATTAATGAATACAGAAAGGAATGCACCCCGCAAGAAAAGAGAACTTTTTAACTTTGTAGGGCAGATACCACATTCATTATTCGGAATCTTAGCCTCGGAGAACGAAGAAGCATATAACAGCAGAATCAACCAATTAGAAGAACACTCCGATCTAATAAAACTAGCATGGGAACAGATGGTCATTGTAAAATCGACGCTGAAGTCGGTTAACAAAACTTTTTTTAAATGATGTTTCAAAAAATGAGATGATTTTAGAAAAGGGTTTACTGGACATCAGAAATTTCATTAATGAAGAAAATGGAAATAAAGGAGAAGTATACATGTGATGAAGGAGCACAAAGGTGTACGGAATGTAATAATGTGTATGTAATGAAGGTACACAGGTATATTAAATCAAATATTGATATATATTAAGAATGGAATACTGTAAATATAAGTAAATGTAAAATGTAACTAAGTAGCAAGACTAGAGGGTTACTGAGTGGATACAGTAACACCTGCTATCAATTACCACTATAATTGAAAAAGCCCTCTAAGGTTCAAGTTAAACATAATATTTGGTGTGACAGATCAATTGTAAGAATAATGTATGAAACCAGTCTAGACATGTTACAGGACAGAGAAAAAAACTGTTATTTTAATCACCCACATTGGATACATGACATTACAACCCCAATGTCGATACGAGGGAGTAAACAGTCACCCTAACCAAATAATTTTGATTAAAGCGACCGCATCAGAGTCCGAAAGTTAGGAATTGTAACATGTCGTGACATGTGTTTGTATTATAGGTCTGAACTGGGAATATGAGATGACTCACGTTTACAAGAGCAGATGTTTTGTAATTTTAGTAGACGCTATAAGTGAACTTCGTTCAAACCAACGCCCAGATTGGCCCTATAAATACAGGAGTATTGTAGCCTCAAAAACATTATCTATTGATCACTCTTCAGACTGTGAAGCTCTGCCGGTTTTCGGTTCGAATCTTTAATCTGTAAACTTTTCTGTATCCTACTGGAAGTCGGAGTTGCATTGCTACTGTGACTACTACCATCAGTGTATCTACAGAACATCCTAATAAACAATATTCCTATATTCTGCAACCAAAAGACTTATCTTTTGCGTACCTACGAAAGATATCCTGAAAATCTACGTGAGCTTTCTCTCCAATGACTTCACCACCTCATCACCGGCGGCAATTACATCAGCGAGCGAGTCTCACTTCATTACATACATACACTTCCATGTTAGTAACTTTAAACGACCTGCGCATTGGAGGAAGTAAAGAATGAACACGATGTGATACTTCAGTCGTGTTTAAATGCAAGGAGTGGGATTATACAACAACAGGTGTTATCACCAGGTTACCTTTCAAATTCTGAAGTCCAGTTGGGATTCATTCCCACGTGATTTCCAAGTCCCTGTCCAACTGAGCGAAGCTTACACTTATTTAATTATTAATGTTATTACAATAGAAACTTATGTTATAGGAGATAAATTAGTATACGCTGTGAGAGTCCCACTAGTGACTCGCCATGTGTATGATATTTATAAGGTCATACCCTTTCCTATCATGGTCAATGAAACAAGAAATAAGTACACATTTATTCAGCCAGACAAGGAATACATGTTGATTGACAGTACTAGGCAATATTATGTGAAGCTTAGACAAGAGAATCTTAACACTTGTAAGAAAATGAGTGAGGAGCAGCTTGTATGTAAACAAGACTTCCCCTTGTTGATAAGCCATTCGTCAGATGATTGTGAAGTGTTAATGCTGCAACCAATTAGGTTAGTCAAAAGGACATGTACTCAAAGGGTTATCGAATTTAAGGAGACTCTGTGGATACGGTTGAGCCCATTTCATTAGTTATTAAGTATAATTTTTTTAAGATTGTGTGCTAAGGTTAAAATGTTAAGACGGCTGGCCAGAAGGCGAGCAGACAGAACAGCGGCTGACTCTTCGCATTCCTTGGCAGTCGATCGAATTGTCTTTAGAAAAGACTGTTTACGCATCAGTGGAAAGACCCGGTCAGGTTTCACTTCGCGCGACAAGGCATGTCCGGCAAGATGCCGACCTCAGGGATTTCGCATGCGCAGCTTTCGCAACTTGGGAAAAAGCTGAATCTTGGAATTGGGAAAACAGGCCGTTTCAGGCACTCTGTTTCCGGCAGTTGCCAGAAACGGACGAGTAAAGCAAAGTGTGCCTGTGGAAAACCTTGGGATGGCGCCAGTGTTTTTCATGTGCATCATGTTTAGCGCGAGTGAGTACTTGCCAGTGGTCGGGTCACTGATGGCTTATTAGAACTTCTGGTTTAAATTATTTTGGTGGGTTAATGTGTTTTTTTTTAGAATTTAGAGGTGTATAAGTGTTTTAATTTGATTATATATTCCATTTTTGTTGTTGTTTGGAGAACTCGACTTTTTGTGACCCTCCTAGTGAAGCATGTTGTCCACAGCATAGGTTAAGTGATATCCACGGACGTCCGATAGGGGGTGAGTACAGTCAATGCCCCCTATCAGCGCACAACAATACCACTCAAGTGGAACTCCCTAGCCAAATGACGATCCTATGTCCAGCCCACAGTATGCTGTGCGTTTGCCCCTTTTGGCATCATAGCCCCCCCTTTTTTTTAGAAAACGGCGTCGCGGTCACAGTTATCGCAGCTCGTTACATTCACATTGTCTGTAACTTCTTTCGACCATTCAACCAGAACTGCAAAGGAGATGAGTAAACATGAGAAGCATTTGGTTCCAGGAGGATGGAGCCACTGCACACTCTGCAAAAGAAACAATGAACATTCTTTGGAACATGTTCGCTGGGTGCGTCATTTTCCGTTTCGGTGATGTGCCTTGCCCCCCCCCCCCCCNCCCCCCCCCAGGTCTCATGATTTATCGGCTTGCGATTTTTTCCTGTGGGGTGCCTCAAAAGCTGTGTGTACATCCCTAAGCCTCGCTTTTTAACTGAGTTGAAGGATGTCATTCGTGGAGAAGTGCAGTTGATTGATCGAGAGATGTTGGGCCGAGTTTTTAACGACTTCAAGCAGAGGATGGAAAACTGCATTCAGGAGGACGGGCATCATCTGCAGGCCACAACTAAACTAAACTAGGTACATAAAATGGCAAATCTTGACCTGTAATTTTCTGTCAATAAATTCGCTTTAAATTGAAAATGGGCTGAGTACCGTTCATTTGAAAAACGTCCTATTCCCGGAGTCACATGTATAAGTTTCGGATGGAGACTGATCGCCCCACTGTTGGTTACTCTAGGCCTATCCCATTTTCTGTAAGACCGGTTGGCAAGGAGCAAATAACGCAAATGATTAGTGATATTTTGGAAATTTCCGATTCTCCTTTCTTGGAACAGCTTGACTATAGTCAAGAGGGAGGGCAAAAAGCCAAGAATATGTGTTGACGCTCGAAAAATTAATCAGTTTACCATTCCAGATTACGAGACGACCCCTCCACTACAGGAACTACTGCAAGATTCGAAGGTGCTAAATACACGTCATCCATTGATTTGAGTTTGGTATACGCCAGCAGAACACTGAATAAGGCAGAATTAAATTATACAACAGTAGAGAAGTAATTATTTGCCATTGTATGGGCATGCAAGCATTTCAGGCCATATTTATTAGGGCGTAAATTCCAGATAATCACAGATCGCAAGGGCTTAACCTGGATTTTCAATGTAAAAGGTCCAAGCTTAAGGTTAATGAAATGGGAATTATTACTAGAAAGTATGACTATGA